CAAATATGGACATCACCTAAAAACGCCACTCCTCCATTATTGTTGATTTAAGTTGTTCATTATTTAAATGAGGTTTTCTTTTTTAATCTGTTCTTTAAGAACTTCAACAGGATTGAAATTAGTTCCAATATTTATACTGATAGTGAACAACGGCTGTAGAAGTTAAAACTTTATCTTCTTCTTTATCTATGTCTTTAAGACATTCCTCAATAATCTAACATTTAGAGTCAGTAGGATAATTATTCCAGTAACGAATGTGATATTCCTTGATTAATCGGGGATGTTCGTTATGAACTTTTGATTAATATCACAAACCAATGTCCACTCCCAAATCTATAGAACAAAGAATTCAAGAGAGGAATTGATAATTGGCTTAGTTGTTGTATCATTGTCCTTTAAGGACGGACTTTTGTCTTTATAGAAGTTAAATAATTTTTCATAGATTCATAATGGTATATCCTTTTAAGAATATTAAAAAAGATAGGATTATTCTCCATATATGGAGATAATGTTAAAAGTATAGGAATTATAGAGAGAGATTTATCTCTAGTGTCTTTATTGTCAACTTTATCTCAAGAATACAAGGATCGGTGCAAAACAACAACGAAAGCTTTTATTTAATGCAAAATTTATGTACAAAACACACTTACAGTAGTAGTGGTGAAAAATAAAAGATGAAGGTTTTTACAAGAGAGAATGGTTCAAAGAGGGTGCAAGAAAGGAGAGAGAAATGAGCGGGTATGAAGGGTGGTCAAACTGTAGTGCTCCACAAGTCGGGCTTGCATCTCCTTATATAAATCCGACCTTGAAGAGGTAACGAATGTCATGACGTTACCATAAAATTATTATACTTGTACAGTAAAAGGTGTATAGAATTACTGACGTATACAATGACGTCAATTTAAATTATTAAAGTTGTGAATAATATAACATTGTGAATAGTATATATTAGTTTTGAAATCCGAATTTTATGTCGGCTCCATATAAGGAGATGTAGGCCCGATCTGTAGAGCACCGTATCTTGACCACCCTTCATACCTACTCCTTCCTCTCTTCTTTCTTGCACCCTCTCTGAACTTTTCTCTCTTGTAAAAATCTTCATCTTCTACCTTCCATCATTACTACTGTAAGTATGTTCTGTACATAAGTTTTGCATTAAATAAAAGCTTTTATTGTTATTTTGCACCGATCCTTATATTCCTAGTATCAGAGCCAAGTAATGGTAGCGTAAATATATTTTGTTGATTTATATGAAGATCTCTTACTAATTCTTATTGCTTATATATATATATATATAATCCATTTATTTTTATCACTTACTTTAAACAATAATTTTAAGATTTGTAGTTAAGATTACAAGTTGGGTAAGAAATTTGGGACACTTTGGCACATGCCAAGAAATTCCCGGTGCTTCATTTCTAAGGACACTTTGGCACCATTTATTGATCACCATGAAGAAGGGAGTGTATAAACTTTAAGTAATAGTTTAAATGGTAATAGAGACAAGTTATAAATTTAGACATCTTAAATTTGAATTTTGGCAATTCTTTTATGTCAGACTATGAGGGATTTATACTTCATGAATACCTTAGTTCTGATTTGAATGATATACTTTTGATCTTTGAAGTATACATATTTTATCAGTTTGGTCTTTAAAATATCAATGTTATTAATTTAGTCCTTAAAATATTCAATTCGTGTTTAAATGATTCATACATAGATGGACTATTAAGTTTTTGACAAAATGATCACGTATTATGCACGAAATACCATCTGTAAAAATAACAAGTGGTCATTTTCATAAAAAAATTAATTAATTGTCTGATTAGGGATCAAAGTGACACAAATTAAAATTGTAGGAACTAAATTGATAAAATTAATACAATAAGACAAAACTGATAAAACAAATATAATTTAAAGATAAAAATACTATTAACCCTATTTATAAAAACAACTCATTAGTCATTAATGAAGGCGATTGCATAATCTATGTTTCTATCCCTTTCAAAGATATAATTAAGAAAGACCTAGCAGAGTTGTCGTAGACAAATAGCTTGCTTGCACTTAGTATAATCATTTACATTATTACTCTAACAAACAATAATATAGTATACTCAAATCGGGACAGGCCCACTTAAAAAACACTAATCTAAATGGAAGGAAAAGCTTTTTTTTTCTTTCTGGCATTAAGCATTTTTTGTTTATTTAACGGTCAAAGATGTCCNGTCTGACAAACAATAATATAGTATACTCAAATCGGGACAGACCCACTTAAAAAACACTAATCTAAATGGAAGGAAAAGCTTTTTTTTTTCTTTCTGGCATTAAGCATTTTTTGTTTATTTAACGGTCAAAGATGTCCGAGCCAGTTTATGCGTATTTGAACTAATCTCTTCCCATCTGACCAAAAAAAAAAAATTAATTTTTTCTCCTATCCGGTCAAAGGTAGACCATCCACGTTAAAAATAGAATATTTATGAGATAAATCCCTCATGACCTTGTTTAAAGAGTTGTTAAGATTCGGACTCAAGAAATCTAAATTTACAATTTGTCCCTACTATTACTCGAGCAAGTTTCTTGGAATTGCATTAACCAGTTTTGAAACCCATTGGGTTGCATTAAGCAATTGTGACCGTAATTGTTGAACTTGTTCATTGAGATTCTATTACTTAACATATCATTAAATCAACAAAATAAATTATTTTTTAAATTTTAATAACATTAATCTTCGAGAAACAAAAAAAGTCAACAAAATTAGGACTAAAGAGGTGGTTTTTCCGAGGCCATCTCATCATATAATAAGCTGTGGACTAACACTACCTCTTATTCAATCGGTCTCTACACGAAAATGCAAAGCAATTTCCACTGATTTCTGGCCATAAGCAGTTCTGAATAGCTTCTGCAAAACTTTCTTATTTTTAGTAAACTGGGGAAGGGGAAGGGGAAGGGGAAGGGGACACCGAAATGATATAAGTAAACTTGTTAATCTCCCTTGTAATTCAATCCTTGAAACTCTGTTCTTTTGCCATACAAACAAACAACCTTTAAAGAATCTAACGTTAAATATTTACCAGCTCATTCGGGGCGGAGCTAGGATTTTATCTCAGTGGGAGCAACCTAAATTTTAAAATTTTAAAGTATAATTGTAAAATTATTTTTATCAAAATATATATTCTTGATAAACTGTTTATAAGCATAGTTACATCAAAAGAATTTTAGAGGTGCAATTCAACAAGAACTAAACTAATTTTCTAATATAAAAAATCTGATTTTAGATTAGTGCTAATATTACTATCAAAAATTTTGGTTAATGAATTACCTCTCCTTAACTTCAACATAATCTTCTAGGGTTCCTTCAAATTTGATTTGTACAATGATTGAATCCAATAAGTTGATTTGTTGATGAATACACCAAAGGAACTAACAAAGAAACTAAATAAAAGAAAGAAGAGGGACTGGACGATTGAAGTGAACTGGAAGTCTGGACGAAGAAGACGAAGGCTTACAAAAAAAAAACAAGTGTGAAAAGGAGCTACAAAAAATTAGCTTTTAAGGGATGAAAATTATATTAAATATCCTATATTTTAAGAAAATTTTAGTGTAACAAGTTTAACAAATTCTTGAAAATTTTAAAATTACAACTAGGTCCCAAAAATTTTTAAAATTTTAGTGGGGGCAACTACTAGGCGTGAAAAATGAGGAGTAGCTGCCAAAAGTTAACTTTTAAGGGTTGAAAATTATATTAATATACCCTATGCTTTAATAAAATTTTAGTCGGGGCAAGTTTAAGAAATTTTTGAAAATTTTAAAATTACATCTAGATCCCAAAATTTTTTAAAATTTCAATGGGGACAATTGCCCTCACCGCCCCCATTTTAAATCCGCCACTGAGCTCATTGATAAAGACAATTGTTCAATGCAACAGCGATATCAGGTCAATATTGATACATAATATCACCAACCATTAATAAAATTTTAAATGGACAAAATGAACCTCATTTATGTAGTTATTGATAGAAACGTAGTTATTAGCTTATGTAGATTCTATTTTCCTGTTTATCTATATATTATTGGTTGGAATATCACGTGACAATATTGATATCACGGTTACGATGAATATTTTTTCCTTGCCAAGACGTAAGAAAAAGACATACAAGACTTGGTAAACAAATGCTTTGTTCACATTATAATTTAGAAAGACTGTTAAGTTTTGTCACTAAATTATTTAGAGTCTTTAATATTTTAAATATTATATATAAATCTTTTAAAATTTGTATGTGTGTAACACTTAGATTTCTGTCGTCAATGTCCATTAGTATATCTGTTAGTAAATTATACTCAAATTTCCTGAAATTTATAGACATGTCATATTTAAAACTTTCAAGTTTAAAATGTTATATTTTGATAAAAAAAATATTTCAATTAAAGATATAATATCAAATATTTTAAGTTTTATAACCAAAATTCATGTTTTATTGTATTATTTATTGAAATAAAATAAAAAATAAAAATCTAATTATATATTAATTACGATTTTTTAAGAAAAAAATAGATTTTTATTTTCTATTTTATTTCATTAAATGATACAATAGAACATAGATTTTGGTTATAAAATTTAAAATATTTGATATTTTATTTTTGATTGAAATATTTTTAGTCTATGTATAATATTTTAAATTTAAGGGGTCTAAGTATAATACGTCTATAAACTTTAGGGGTTTTAGGTGTATTTTACTGACAAACAGTCAGATCTACCTATAATTTACAAAATGTTAGGGGGTATGTGTATAATAATTTAAATATTACGAGGTTTTAGTGATTAAACGATAAATTTTTAGGGAAGTGAGTGTAATTCTTCCTTCAATTTATTCTGACTCACTTGAGCACGAATGTGAGTGGAAGGTACAAATCTTGGATATTCTTTCTAACAAGGGGCCTTCTTAAGCAGCTTTGAGATACGGGAAACCCATCCTTCCCCGATCTACTCAAGCTTGAAAACAATGGCTTTGGTAGAAGTATCTTTGGGTGCGTTTATTAATGTGTTGTTTGAGCGATTGGCCTCTCGCGAGTTCTTGAACTTTGCTCGCAGCGGGGGAATTCATACCCAGTTGAAGAAATTGAGCGAAATGTTGATGGCAATTCGAGCAGTGCTCAGCGATGCAGAGGCTAAGCAAATAACGTGGGAAGATATGAGATTCTGGATGAATGGTCTAAGTGATTTGGCTTACGATTTGGATGATCTACTTGACGGAATCGCAACCGTAGCTTTTGCACATGAATTGAAATCCCAGCCTGAAACAGCTACCACAAGTAAGGTACAAAAATTCATCCCTACTTGTTGTACTAATTTTCGTAGATCTGTTACGCTCAAGATAAAGATGGGTCATAAGATTGAGGAGATCACTTATAGATTACAAGATATTGTAAAACTGAAAGATGATTTGGATTTGAGGGTTATTCGAGAAGCAAGGTCAAACACAGAAAGGGAGAGCTTGTCAACAACTTCCTTGGTCGATGAGCCCCATGTTTATGGTCGGGAAAAGGAAAAAGAAAAAATACTTGAATTGTTGCTCAGGGATGAAGCATGTAATGATGAAACATGCGTCATTTCAATATGTGGTATGGGTGGTGTCGGCAAGACTACTCTTGCTCAACTTGTGTACAATGATGAGAAAGTGGAGGATTTCTTTGATTTGAAAGCATGGGTGTGTGTTTCGGAAGTGTTCAATGTATGCATGATAACCAAGATTATTCTTGAGGAGGTCACCAAAGAAAGATGTGATTCCAAGACCTTCGAGAACTACGAAAAATGGGATCTCCTTTGTGCTCCTTTTCGAGTTGGGCTACCTGGAAGTAAAATTATTGTTACAACTTGGAATGAAGGTGTTGCATGTATCATGGGTTCTGTTATTGCTTACCTTCTGAATGTTTTGGCAGAAGACTATTGTTTTTCTTTGTTGGCTCAGCATGCATTGGGCAAAATAAATTTTGATGACCATCCAAATTTGGAACTAATTGGCAAGGATATAGTCAGAAAGTGTAGAAGTTTGCCTTTGGCAACAAAGACACTAGGAGGCCTTTTGCATACTAAACATAACTCAAATGAGTGGAAAGTTATACTGATTAGCAAAATCTGGGAGTTATCTGAGCACAAGAGCTGTATTCTTCCAGCTCTCAGATTAAGCTATCATCCTCTCCCTTTTCACTTAAAGCAAATGTTTGCATATTGTGCTATATTTCCAAAGGACTATGAGTTAGTTTTGTTATGGATGGCAGATGGATTTCTACAACAATCAGAAGAAATGGAAGTTCTTGGTGGCAGTTATTTCATTGAGCTATTATCAAGGTCCTTCCAACGTTCAGGTTGCACAGAATCAAAATTTGTGACCTTTTGAACGATCAAGCTCAATATGTTTCCACGGAAATATGCTTTAGGTTGCATTATAATATGGAGGGTAATGAACCATTGAACCATGTAATATTTCTGAGAAAGCTCGTCACTTGTCATTCATTCGCCACCTATAAAAGATTCAAGGCATTTCATGGACTTTGGGGTTTGTGGACTTTCATACCGTTGCCACTTTGTAAGTCAATTAACTGGCCGAAATTCTATTTAAGCAATAGTGTTTAGTGTTTTGGTCGAGCTACTGCCAAACTTATAGTACTTAAAAGTCTTATCTTTGAGTGTGTACGAAATATGTGCGCTACCCAACTACATTGAGGATTTGAAACATCTTCGGTACCTTAATTTATCACAGACCTTGATTAAATGGTTGCCCGAATCAGGAGTAGTCTCTACAATTTATAGACATTATCATTAAGAGGTTGTCACTCCCTTTGTAAGTTGCCCAGCAAGTTGGAAATTTGGGGAAGTTGTGCCATCTTGACATTCGAGATACTCCAAAATTAGAAGAGATGTCCTCGGGGATTGGTAGATTGAAATATTTGCAAACATTGCTGAAAGATTTTTGTTGGTAAAAGTAGTGGATTTGGACTCAGAGATTTGAGCAGTCTATTGCTTTTGAGAGGGATGCTTTCCATTGTAGGGTTAGAAAATGTTATAGATGTGCGGGATGCAGAGGAGGCCAATTTAAGTTGTGAGCAAGAACTTAATGAGTTGGAATTTCAATGGAGTAGTGACATTGAAGATTCTCAAAATGAACGGCTAAAAGTCAGTGTACTTGTGTTCTACAGGGGCATCACATTTTCTACTTGGATTGGGGATCGGTCATTCTCTAAAACAGTGTCCAGTAGTCTTGAAGGTTGTAGGAAATGCGAGACTTTACCACCACTTGGCCAGCTACCCTTGCTCAAAGAACTATATCTAAAGGACATGTATGTTGTAAAAAGCGTGAGTGCAGAGTTCTATAGTGATGATAATACTTTGGAAATTCCATTTCCATCTCTCGAGATTCTGCAGTTTGACAAGATGCCAGAATGGGAGAAATGGCCTTTTTCTCATGGTGTTGATTTTAGAGGACTTTTTCCTTGCCTTTGTGAGCTTATTATACCCAATTATCCTAAACTGGTGAGCGTTCCACTCTAAGACTCCTCTCTCTTCGCAAGTTGCAAATAGAAGATTGTGATGAGGCGGTGTTGAAATGTTTTACCAAATTNCTCGAGATTCTGCAGTTTGACAAGATGCCAGAATGGGAGAAATGGCCTATTTCTCATGGTGTTGATTTTAGAGGACTTTTTCCTTGCCTTTGTGAGCTTATTATACCCAATTATCCTAAACTGGTGAGCGTTCCACTCTAAGACTCCTCTCTCTTCGCAAGTTGCAAATAGAAGATTGTGATGAGGCGGTGTTGAAATGTTTTACCAAATTACCCTCATTAACCAATTTGGAAATTGAGTTTATGTTGGGACTAACTCATCTGCGGAAAGAGTCAACGAATGTGTTGGTGTCGCTTGAAGTTCTTGTATTTATTAAGTGTGCTGCATTGGTGACTTTGAGGCAGAATGGGATTGCACCAGAATACCTTTCCTGATTGCAACGCCTAAAGGTCGGGGGTGTCCTCTACTNGGTGTTGAAATGTTTTACCAAATTACCCTCATTAACCACTTTGGAAATTGAGTTTATGTTGGGACTAACTCATCTGCGGAAAGAGTCGACGAATGTGTTGGTGTCGCTTGAAGTTCTTGTATTTATCAAGTGTGCTGCATTGGTGACTTTGAGGCAGAATGGGATTGCACCAGAATACCTTTCCTGATTGCAACGCCTAAAGGTCGGGGGTGTCCTCTACTTGGGCANAAATATATTTTTATCCCGAGAAACAAAACTCTTTATTAAAAATACACTATATTCTAATAGATCCAATAGAAATATGTTAAGTTTTAAAAATATACATCGTAATGGTTATCACATTGAAACAACGAATAAGGGTGGTAAAGAGTATTTATGAATCACATCTATTGTATCATGTCAGAAGCATGTACTAAAGAAATTTCACTCTTTTTTTTGGATTGTATTATACAAAAATAAAATTCGTAGAATCAAATGTTGTGATGCACCAAAAAATGCCTTGATTTTATGCTTTGGCATGATCGCCTTGGTCGTATATGATCAATAATGATGAATAAAATCACTGAGAACTCACACAGATATTCTTTAAAGAACCAAAAAATTCTTTTACGAAACAATTATTCATATTCTGATCGTTCACAACGTAAATTAATTATCAAACCATCCCCCTCAAAATGAATTTCTGAATCTCCTAATTTTTTACAACGAATTCATGGATNCCTGATTGCAACGCCTAAAGGTCGGGGGTGTCCTCTACTTGGGCCACTGCTGGAAGAAGATCAAAGGCTACCTTGTAATCTTGAAAGTTTACAAGTATACTCTTGTGAAAATCTGGAGAGGTTGCCTTATGGCCTAAAAGCCATACATCTCTCAAGGAGCTGAAAATCAGGAAGTGCCCAAAGCTTGTCTCTTTTCCAGAGGACAGTCTCCCGCCCATGCTTAAATGGCTTTCCATTCAAGATGCAGATTCTCTGGAGTCTATCCCTGATTGCATCACTCATCTTCAAGTGTTGGAGGTTAGGAACTGCTTGTCTCTGAGACCTTTGCCAACAGACACTCTTCTCTTCACGCTTATGTCAGTTACCAAAAATCCAATAGTTATATTTTACCCACCTTTAAACTTAAATTTGCTCTCTTTCTTTAAATTTGAGTTTGTCCATTAAAGCCTTTCTTATCAAATTAAACTTTTTACTCAAATCTTGACTCACATTTGAGTAAAAATTTGAATTAAGATTGAAGATGCTCTTACCCAATCTTTGTTTACAGTTAACTTTTAGATGGAAAATGACGGACTCCCATGTCACTTTATTGCTCTTCCTCCTCCACATATCATTTAGTTGGTTACACATGCCGCAAAATTTACCGTTATGCATTTTCCATCTAAAACAAAATAAAACTTTGGCTTTAAAACTATGTGGAATCAATTCAAGTAACTAGATATTTAATGTTAAAAATTTATAATTGTAGGGGCGATGAGAAATTGGAGTCATAGTTCATGTGGTATAAGTGCAATCTATCCATTTGAAAACAAACCCAATGTTCATTTTGATGTATGAGTTCCAGTGATGTTTAATATGCCACTAAACTTTCCTATTCATGTTGGTGTTTGCAGATTGTCATGAGGTCTGTTTTAAGGAGCAACTTTCTTGTGTGTCAGTCGCAGATGAGTTTAGTTTGAATAGTGCTTGTTAAAGGTTTGCCTTGCCATTGCTTTTTCTCTCTATTATTGTCCAAGAGTGCTATACCTATACCTCTTTGTAATTATGCAGGGGCATGTAACTGCCAACTTTATTTAATCTTTTTTTTGGTAATTTGCCAACTTGATCTAAAAAATGAGTTCCAGATGAATTGGATGCACATTTGCCCAATGAGGACTGTAATTTTAATGTGCCTTGTTTAACTACCGAGTTACTTTGCAGAATTCTCATGATCTTTGAAACTATTATTTGTTCATTGTCATTGGAAGAGATTATAAACGCATAAAAAGAAATGTGCAGACAAATGTGGTATATGGTGTTGTTGAATTAATTTTAATCTATGATGGGGTGTACTTATCAAACTATCCAAATAAAATTCATTTGGCTCAAATTGCTAGCATATTGTATTTGATCCATGTACAAATACTATTATGAGCTAACAGATTAAGGATTCAGATTACTAATTACTAGAGATCTAGATCAAAGACCTCCTATCAAATGCTAATAAGTTTTCAAAATCGTAGTTTATATGCTTAATTATGATCTTCTTTATACTTTTCCTCTCAATTACAGATTTAAACAAATTGCACCATTAATCATTCAGAAGAGTCTCATGGACTATTTTTTTTTTGTCAAAAATTAAACATTGTGCAAAACCAAATTNATTATGATCTTCTTTATACTTTACCTCTCGGTTACAGATTTAAACAAATTGCACCATTAATCATTCAGAAGAGTCTCATGGACTATTTTTTTTTGTCAAAAATTAAACATTGTGCAAAACCAAATTTTGATGATTAATGGTTCTTTGTTCAAATCGTTAATCAAGTAGGTACATTGAAATTAGAGTCANTTATGATCTTCTTTATACTTTTCCTCTCAATTACAGATTTAAACAAATTGCACCATTAATCATTCAGAAGAGTCTCATGGACTATTTTTTTTTTGTCAAAAATTAAACATTGTGCAAAACCAAATTTTGATGATTAATGGTTCTTTGTTCAAATCGTTAATCAAGTAGGTACACTGAAATTAGAGCCATTGTAATAACGAACAAAGTGTAATTTATCAAAACCCTATCTATGTCTACAATGTCCAAATAGTTTTTTGGATTTCATTCTTCGTAGAGGGTTGATGAAATTTACTTGTACTAGAGTGATTGNTTGAAATTAGAGTCATTGTTAATAACGAACAAAGTGTAATTTATCAAGACCTTATCTATGTCTACAGTGTCCAAATAGTCTTTTGGATTTCATTCTTCGTAGAGGGTTGATGAAATTTACTTGTACTAGAGTGATTGTGTAATGAAATTGAGTTGAATGAGTTGAAGTAAAACTATTTAGCATCTAATTAATTTAACAAGTTTGAACTATATAATTTATTGTGTGAAAATTCACTTTAATAAGATCTATATAACTAAAATTTGCAAAGAACAAGGAAAGTTGATAGAGACGAATTTTGATGAAAGGACATCAGACACAATCCTCATCAATTATCCATTAGATTTTATCCATTTGAATGTTTCTAACTTTTTTGTGAATTCAAATAGAAATTAAAAATTATAGATATAATCACCTTATATTTTCTAAAAGTAATAATATGGATGTATATATGTTTCAGCTTTGTCTATGTTTGTTATTTAGTATTTTCCCAATGTCATAGTTTGAATATATTCACGTTTATATATCATTTTCTCTATTAGTAAATAAAGTCTTATAGACTTGATTGAAAACACTAGCAGAGCAAATATATTTTTATCCCGAGAAACAAAACTCTTTATTAAAAATACATTATATTCTAATAGATCCAATAGAAATATGTTAAGTTTTAAAAATATACATCGTAATGGTTATCACATTGAAACAACGAATAAGGGTGGTAAAGAGTATTTATGAATCACATCTATTGTATCATGTCAGAAGCATGTACTAAAGAAATTTCACTCTTTTTTTTGGATTGTATTATACAAAAATAAAATTCGTAGAATCAAATGTTGTGATGCACCAAAAAATGCCTTGATTTTATGCTTTGGCATGATCGCCTTGGTCGTATATGATCAATAATGATGCATAAAATCATTGAGAACTCACACAGATATTCTTTAAAGAACCAGAAAATTTTTTTACGAAACAATTATTCATATTCTGATTGTTCACAACGTAAATTAATTATCAAATCATCCCCCTCAAAATGAATTTCTGAATCTCCTAATTTTTTACAACGAATTCATGGATATATATGGGGCCAATACACCTTCTGTGCAAGCTATTTCGTTATTTCTTGGTTTTAGTAGATATATCAATAAGATGGTCACATATGTGTCTATATTTTACACAAAATGTCACATTTGCAAGGTTTCTTGCTCAAATAATCTTTTAGTACTACAATTTCTATATTATCTAATTAAGAAAATTTGTTTGGGTAATGCTAGTAAGGTTACGTCTTTTCATACATTACTCAGAATGATCTAATTGAGTATTTTATTTAACGTATTCAATTGAGAGCTCAACTTATACTTACGAAGATAAAATTTTCTGTTGTTGTTTGGGGGTATATTATATTGCATACTGTATCTTTAATTCGTATTCAACCAAATATTACATCAGATTAACCTCACCAGGCCAACACAGGCTACTAAATACCAAACTACAGGCAGATGATTCATTCAAACACAAGTTAACCTCATCAAATTTGTATTTGAAAACCTAGCACCAGTTGTTTTTCTTTTCATGGACAACAAATAATCAAGGTCATTATTGAAAGTATTGTGTAATACCAATATGACCTGATTGAGTTGTATTCGAAAAGACACCTTCCATTCCAAAATTGATATATGTTTTGTATAAACCATAAGTCTCACTTAACTCATGGTTGACTTAAGAGACATCTCGAATGACTTGGTCGAGTCTTCCAGAGTCTTTGTCGTTGAATCACAATGTATTGGTGATACCGTTCTATGATGCTGCAACAAGGGCCGCAACTTAGACGAGTTGAAAGGAAAAACAAAACCCAACTCAAGTTATAAAACTCTCGACCCAAACCCGACCTCAACTCGAATACTATCTATGGACTCGAGTTGAACCTAAATTATTAAATTGAGTTCAAATTATGGGTTAGAATCGGGTTCCTAACTATGGTAATGGGTATTTTTTTTATAACTTATTTGGTTTTAAGTATCACAACCAGACTTATATTCCATTAAATCATATTTTTCATCAAAATATTGTCATTAAGTAAATATTTCGAATTTATTTTTTTTGCAGTACCTAATTATCTCTATCATTGTTAGTTTCAATGTTTTCATATATAACAACTACTAACTTGAGAATTGTGGTAACATTAAAATTATTTTTCAATCATATATATATATAGTAACATTAAACAGGAACATGCTAAACAAAAAAATAATAACATCAAACAATAACATGCTCCACAAAAATATAGTAACATCAAACAAAACATGCTCAATAAAAAATTTAATTAAAAATTTAATCATTGAAATAAAATTACACCATATGTGAGTATTTAAAACTATTGTCTTGCCCACACATCACCCTATCTAAATGTAATCTTATTTTTTAATCAATAAAATTCTCCCTCACACCATCGAGACTCACCAAACCATATAGGCAATGACCTGTATAGAGAAATGATGAATAGTAAACAACCTCCCTATCAATAATACTATTAATTAAAGTTGTTGGCGAATTCGTTTAGTAATTGGTAGAGGAAATCAAAAAAATTTGTGATTTTCAGGTTTTAAAATGAATCCCAAATTTTGAGTTTTGCTGTTTTTTTTTGTCTTCCGAAAATTCTGATATTTCCAGGACTTCCAAATTGCTATTAAATTGATTTGTTTAATTCAAATAATTTCTAGAAAATTCCGCCAAACGCATTTACACCGATTCAATATACTCTCACCAAACAATTTTGCCCTTATGATCGAGTTCTTATACGATTTCTTTCCAATTNTTCACAACGTAAATTAATTATCAAATCATCCCCCTCAAAATGAATTTCTGAATCTCCTAATTTTTTACAACGAATTCATGGATATATATGGGGCCAATACACCTTCTGTGCAAGCTATTTCGTTATTTCTTGGTTTTAGTAGATATATCAATAAGATGGTCACATATGTGTCTATATTTTACACAAAATGTCACATTTGCAAGGTTTCTTGCTCAAATAATCTTTTAGTAGTACAATTTCTATATTATCTAATTAAGAAAATTTGTTTGGGTAATGCTAGTAAGGTTACGTCTTTTCATACATTACTCAGAATGATCAAATTGAGTATTTTATTTAACGTATTCAATTGAGAGCTCAACTTATACTTACGAAGATAAAATTTTCTGTTGTTGTTTGGGGGTATATTATATTGCATATTGTATCTTTAATTCGTATTCAACCAAATATTACATCAGATTAACGTCACCAGGCCAACACAGGCTACTAAATACCAAACTACAGGCAGATGATTCATTCAAACACAAGTTAACCTCATCAAATTTGTATTTGAAAACCTAGCACCAGTTGTTTTTCTTTTCATGGACAACAAATAATCAAGGTCATTATTGAAAGTATTGTGTAATACCAATATGACCTGATTGAGTTGTATTCGGAAAGACACCTTCCATTCCAAGATTGATATATGTTTTGTATAAACCATAAGTCTCACTTAACTCATGGTTAACTTAAGAGACATCTCGAATGACTTGGTCGAGTCTTCCAGAGTCTTTGTCGTTGAATCACAATGTATTGGTGGTACCGTTCTATGATGCTGCAACTAGGGCCGTAACTTAGACGAGTTGAACGGAAAAATAAAACCCAACCCAAGTTATAAAACTCTCGACCCAAACCCGACCTCAACTCGAATACTATCTATGGACTCGAGTTGAACCTAAATTATTAAATTGAGTTCAAATTATGGGTTAGAATCGGGTTCCTAACTATGGTAATGAGTATTTTTTTTATAACTTATTTGGTTTTAAGTATCACAACCAGACTTATATTCCATTAAATCATATTTTTCATCAAAATATTGTCATTAAGTAAATATTTCGAATTTATTTTTTTTGCAGTACCTAATTATCTCTATCATTGTTAGTTTCAATGTTTTCATATATAACAACTACTAACTTGAGAATTGTGGTAACATTAAAATTATTTTTCAATCATATATATATATAGTAACATTAAACAGGAACATGCTAAACAAAAAAATAATAACATCAAACAATAACATGCTCCACAAAAATATAGTAACATCAAACAAAACATGCTCAATAAAAAATTTAATTAAAAATTTAATCATTGAAATAAAATTACACCATATGTGAGTATTTAAAACTATTGTCTTGCCCACACATCACCCTATCTAAATGTAATCTTATTTTTTAATCAATAAAATTCTCCCTCACACCATCGAGACTCACCAAACCATATAGGCAATGACCTGTATAGAGAAATGATGAATAGTAAACAACCTCCCTATCAATAATACTATTAATTAAAGTTGTTGGCGAATTCGTTTAGTAATTGGTAGAGGAAATCAAAAAAATTTGTGATTTTCAGGTTTTAAAATGAATCCCAAATTTTGAGTTTTGCTGTTTTTTTTTGTCTTCCGAAAATTCTGATATTTCCAGGACTTCCAAATTGCTATTAAATTGATTTGTTTAATTCAAATAATTTCTAGAAAATTCCGCCAAACGCATTTACACCGATTCAATATACTCTCACCAAACAATTTTGCCCTTATGATCGAGTTCTTATACGATTTCTTTCCAATTGCTTTGCAACAAATGTTAAATAACCCAAATTCCAATTCTCACCCCTTTAGCTAACAAAAACACTGATGTTACTGACCAAAGTATTAAAGATACCAGAAATGCAACACTTGGAGATGTAGTCAACAAATTCTATACAATACAGATTTTGTTATGGTACAACAAATAATGAAAGTTGAACAAATTATTATGAAACAATTTTATTCCTCCACCCTTCTCCCAAAAGGAGAGAAGAAATTAAAAACAAAAGAAGAAAAATGGAAACAGAGGGAAAGAGAAAGAAGAGAAAAGCACTGGGGGTTGTTTTTTCGGTGGGTGGGGTGGAGGGGTGGGAGGGTTTCAAATGAAAAAAAAAACATAAAAATTACATTCTCATTAGCATGTATGTTAATACAAATACAAGTTCCTTACACTATTGCTTCATCATTAGAGGGATATGCTATTCTCTCAAGCAACGGACTTGGGTATCTTGTATTGTTTCTTCAGGAACTGAGAAGCCTCTGAATCACTCCTGTGACATAATATTCTCAGTAGGGTCTTGGTGTCAGCACCCAGTTTGCTTTTGCTTCCCTGCATTTCTAATCCACTAGCAGATTTCAAGTCCTCAATCAATTCCCGCGTCTGCAGTTCATTACGAATTTAATAAGAGTTTCAAGCGAACACAATCTCATATGGTGCAGAAACAGAACTCAACTACTAAAGCAAACTAATTAATTTCAATCTTGCATTGAATTTGCAGAAATGCAAGTGCATAGTATAGCATCTGTGAAACTCAAATCAGAGTCCATCACACAAACTCATGGATGGCCATGACGCCTCATTATATCTTTGCCCAGCCACGCAGTGGTACATAGTCACGACATACACAACAGTCCATAAGGAGATAGTAATGCCAGCACATCATAGCAGCCAATTTCATCATTTTGGTAAAATATATTTTTAAAACTTGCACATGAACTAACCTCGTAGCCATGCAACTTTATCACCAGTCGAACACGTGCTACTTGATTTTCAACTACTCCACGAGGAAGCCCATCCCCTCCAGAAATAAAGAATTCCTATTGAAAGATATACCAAAACAAAAACCAAACTAAGGGGACTATCGCACAAGTGGAGGCCCACTTAATTGTACACAATGAGCAACTTAATTATATGAACTACGCGTTAATAAGGACATATAAACGTACATTACTTACCATATAACAAATTATACTATGCAACAACAGATGATTTAACCAGTAAAAGCAAATGGTGTCCAAATCTGAGACCAAATATAGCAAAGACAGTCCTATAGTACCTTTAAGACCTCTAAATCTTCTTNTGTACATTACTTACCATATAACAAATTATACTATGCAACAACAGATGATTTAACCAGTAAAAGCAAATGGTGTCCAAATCGGAGACCAAATATAGCAAAGACAGTCCTATAGTACCTTTAAGACCTCTAAATCTTCTTCAAGTAGCTTAGCATCACCAATGGAAAAAACACGTGATGGGCCTCCATCCAGTATAACCCGGAGCAAGCCATCCTGGAAGAAGATTAAAATATGAAAAACATTGACAAATAAAATTGTTCAAGAGATACAACTCAAACAAGTTGGGATAAAACACAGACAAGTGATGCTTGAAGGAGGCCCGTGACAATGCGATCCCTAAGCGGCTCCACAATTATATCACACAGTTGATTAAGTACCTGCAGAGATTGACAAGGGCAAAGATCCCAGGCTTCAGCGATAAAAAAGATCAATGAACAATGGCTTACAACATGTCCCTCAATTTCAGATACATAATCTTCACGTATAGATCTAAAGCTCAGAAGTAGGAGTGAATGTGAAAATGATTAAAGCCATCTCTAAATAAGAACCCAAAAGTATATCATTGAATTCTATATTTCAATCTTGATACTTTGAATCAATGAATTCTAAGTTCAACTATTCAGTCAAGTTGAAAGGACATGCCAGAAATTGTGATTGTTATATCTGAAAGCCAAATTGAAAATATAAACATAACTAAAGTGGCTGAAGTATTATAAAAGCATCAGAGGGTTTTCTAGGGAGAAGCCTACTATTCTGTCATAGCCTATATGTGATGACACTAAACACGGTAGGAGTGGATTATGTGGCACTGGAGTCAGCATGATCCATGCAACAGCCCAATTAAGGAAATCTGATTACGTGGCATTGGAGTCAGCATTATCCATGCAACAGCCCAACTATAGAAATCCAAAGGTGAGCGAAGAGTATGAACTTGCTGTAACTTCATTTATGATCTTGAGGGAACTGCAACACTCCATGATCTCGACCATTATTTGGCATAAGTTGCATTTCCAACTAGCAGTCAGTTCTCACTCTCCAAACACAATAAAATAAAATAAACCACCCAAATAGTCCACCAAAAGAAAACCAATCCCCCTCTTAAGCAGCTTAGGACATGTATGCATGCACACACACACATATGTAGAGCACAGCTTCCAACAGAGAAATAATACCGTATCAAGTGGATCAATCATTGCTTCCAACCTAGACTGAGAAACACTGGGCTTATATAGGTTGTCAATGAATGGCTCCCTCAAGTCCCAGAAAATGATCTTAGTTCCTGCAAAATATCTCCAAATATAAATCAGAGACCAGATTTTTTTTCTTAAGGAAATGAAAACAGAAGCGACAACAATTCTCACCTGTGAACTCACAAATTTGATCAATAGCTGCATTGATGTCTTGTCTACTTCCATCAAACGTGTCCTTTTGAGGGGAAGTTCTGGAGTTCCCATCTATGGACCTCCCTATGAGCAAAAAAGTCCACGAAATAAGCATTGGTAATAAAAGAGACTTTTGAGGCAGACAAACGCTGTGTAGTATTTGTCGTCTTCATTGTAAATAAAGACAAATAAAATCCATATATATGTAAACCATTATTCACCAAAGGCATCCGACACACAGTATTCAAATACTATTGAGACCTAGAACTCTTAAAGTGCAAACTCCATCCCTTGATCTACATCAAAATTTAGACCAAAATTGACAGCTGCACACAATTCTAATACAGCCAATATATATACACAAAAGCATACATACATATGTGAAGGTAAGTGATAAAGAAGAAATATCCTCTCAAATCTCCATCCCACACTTAACCAGTTCAACAAGAAACCCAAATATCTCACGATAATAAGAGGAGACAGGCGTAAAAGTCAGAGAGAGAGAGAGAGAGAGAGAGGCCCATATTAATTCAATTTAGGACAGAAAATTTTGCCAGAGAGAAGTTTCCATGGATAAAAAGCATCCTTTTGCAGGCCACGTTCAATCCAAGAACTCTGGAAATCGAACTGGCAACATGGCCTTCNGTGCATAAAAAGCATACTTTTGCAGGCCACGTTCAATCCAAGAACTCTGGAAATCGAACTGGCAACATGGCCTTCTTNATGGATAAAAAGCATCCTTTTGCAGGCCACGTTCAATCCAAGAACTCTGGAAATCGAACTGGCAACATGGCCTTCTTGGTGGGGTCCAAAAACTCTGTAATGTTGCCCTTCCATTAAATATCAGAAACACAGAACCTTACATCCCATTCGGTGCTATTGCAAAAATGTTGATCTGCGATATCATTCACAGTAAACTAAAGAAGAATGGGAAAAAAAATCAAGGAGATGAACAGGACGAGGGGATACAAAACAACNCATAACCAGACTAAAGAATGCTAATGGCCCATTGGACCAAATAGAAGCATTAGTTTAATGCAATGTCTAAATAAGCCTCATACAATATTGAAGGATGTGTATTTAACAATAATCCCAATATTTAAAAATAGATGCACTTAGGAACACAGAACCCATCTGCATTAGCTCATGCTCCATAACACACCACCATCTCATTGTCAAAATATAAAACATTTTTTTTAATTATTCTATGGATGTGATTACAAGTGTTGGAAGAATACAGATCTTTTAGGATTCCTAAGAAATTCTTCGATTTCTTCCGGAAACAGATGATTAAAGAAGAGATAAGGAAAATGCAGATCAGCCAAACATGGGCTGACTCCTCTCATATATCTATTAGTCATGGACACTGTGTCATCACAAAACTACCCCTGCCACTTCTATTAAACAGGCCCCAAACTAAGCAAATATAATGAACATGGAAAACGCTTTTTGGAATAGGCTCGCTTTCAGGTGACTATGCCGAGGGACCAATCCCTACTCAAATACTTGAATGGTGGAATCAAAGTAACTCAACCCATTTGAAGTTTGCAAGTTCTGAAAGTGGTGCATAGTTCCCAACTTTTGAGTGTCTTGTAAAAAAACACCTATGCAATAATAAACTATACTGGACAATGTCTCTCTCTCTCACAAAGATTTTTACAACCGTAAAGGTTTGACCGCAAAGTTTATCATCCAACTTTTTTGAGTACCTCCATTATGTCCCCCTAATCCCCACACCCCCAAAAAGAAGTCAGGGCAGCCCTAGAATGAGATTAAAACAAAACAACTGTTCAATGATTAACTATACAAGGCAAAAGGGTCCCTCTTGTGCACACTGAGTTTGAATGGGAAAGTATTTTGTCAACTGATGGCATATAGGGTTTACAGTAATTTCATAACTAAAAACAATGAGCAGTTTATCTGTTTAAAACTTTAGATACATACTGATTGACTTATCATGATGCTTTTTCCTTGTCCACCGCTCCCAAATGCTATCTTCCAACTTATTCAATTGACTAATGGCATACTGTTCATAGAAATAGAAGCTTGCATCAGGATTATCCTATACCATAAGGACATCAGCTCTTATATATCTGTTGATAACACATGGCCATAAAACAATATAGGGAGCATATAATAATGCAATTAAAGTTTTTTCTATACCAGAAGAGGTACTTTGGCATGTACAATACATTCATCAAGCGATTTTCTGGTGATAAACAAGAAGAAAACCATCAAATCGCATATGAAGCGATATGATAATATTTATGCCTCTCAGTAACAGAGGAGTACCATGACATGCATTTTATTTCAAAATGGACAGTAATGGCAGTCTACCTTCCAATGGATTTTACACATAAATGACTTCAGATATTAACAATTGCAACAAGACATGTCATCAAGAAGTGTCAGTCTTACTGCTATATTTGATCAGATTTTTTTTCAATACGGAGGTGGTGCATGAAAACTAGCCATCTTCATATCTACATGTAACAGGGTTTTTCATGTTCAATCTAGACCCAAAAAAAACCTTATCATATTTAAAAGAGATGAGCATGCAAACCAATATTCCTATATGGACATGTCTTCACATTTATGTAATTAAATCCTATTAAATTATGTTCAGGAATGTTATGGCACAACTCCTTGGTTTCTTGCCAGCTAAATTAAAAAGGTCAATGTTCAAATAATTGCTGTTTTTCAAACTGAGAACTTTCATGATAAGAAGTGTTAAGTTAAGAGAATTAATATAACACAATATTAGAGGAAATATTAGGGAGAAAGAGAGAGGTTAGAAAACTTAACCTAACTCCCNCTTCTTGGTGGGGTCCAAAAACTCTGTAATGTTGCCCTTCCATTAAATATCAGAAACACAGAACCTTACATCCCATTCGGTGCTATTGCAAAAATGTTGATCTGCGATATCATTCACAGTAAACTAAAGAAGAATGGGAAAAAAAATCAAGGAGATGAACAGGACGAGGGGATACAAAACAACATACTTCCAGGGTTACAGAAGACATTGTTATCAAAAAGTTAAGGGCAGCTGTGGAATTTATGCTTGTCACTTATATCTGATTACTGACTTCGTGAGATTTTGAAAATGCAGGTTTCCGGGAGCTACCCAGCAGAGCTTCTCTGAATGTGCATTTGGAAGATGCACTACTAATCAAGAAGTCAAGAAGTCAAACAAATGTACTCACCAAACAACTTGCTTTTTTAGACGGACTATTGTTCCGAGAAGCCCATCCAAAAGCAGCGCCAAAAAATACACTAAGAAGTCACAGATACGTGACTCTGAAAGAAGCCCACTATGCTGAGGGTTAAGGTCAAGAATTATTGCTATCATTATTTTCAGCAAAGACATGATTAATGAGATGGCATGACCACTGAGGCTCCTGGAACTTTTGAGTACAGCTATCCAAAATGCACATTAACTGCACCACCAGGTGGGATGAGTGGAGTTGGTTCACTGCTACTATACCAAATATGTCTCAATTTTGGCGCAAGAAGAATGGTATGGATGCATGCCGTATGGTCCAACTGTTAAATATCTGATTAAGACTTAACTTAATACTAACTAACACTAAGAGAAAAAAAAACAGAAATAAGTCATCGACCAGATTCACTTGTCATGCTATTTTGGGATTATGACGCAACAAAATGGCACTTAGATCTCACATGTACTCATTCATTTGCATCATCAGAGTAACAAAATATTTCTCACGAGTGATCGTATATTGGACAGTTGTACAGTATAATGTGCTAAGAAGCAATTGCTAATATTAAAATTTGATCTTACCAAATGTAATTTTAACCTGCAAAGTATCAATGCTTGGATGCGTCACTATTTTAAAAGCTAGTATAATTTCGATGTAATCCAACAAGTTGTACGTGTACCTCCAATTCTTACCAGATTGATGATTACTACTACTTAAGAACAAAAAAATCATCTGGTTACAGAAAGTGGAAAATACTCAATTCATACATAAAAAAATAAAGGCACCGTTGCGAGGACATTGCAGCCCCCAGATAATTAATCGATATTCTACATAATGGAATCGACATTGTTATGTAGTATTCTTAATTCTGGTCATGAACATCAACACGCTTTATAGCTATTTCGAGAGAGTAAGTTTTCTCTCTCTCTCTCTCCCTCGTCTCTCCTTTTTTTTATTTTTTTGGACACCCGCCCCGGGCGGGGGGGGGGGGGGACTGGGGTTTCCTTGCTCCTTGAAGCATCCTACACACGTGTTTTTATCCCGATTCCACTTTTCAACAAATTTTCATTTTTCATGAAAGAGCAATCACCATAAGCTTTTCACACACTCATGTTTTTGTCCCCATTCTACTTTTCAACAAAGTTTCAATTTCCATAAAGAGCAATCACTATAAGTTTTTCATGTCATAACCAGACTAAAGAATGCTAATGGCCCATTGGACCAAATAGAAGCATTAGTTTAATGCAATGTCTAAATAAGCCTCATACAATATTGAAGGATGTGTATTTAACAATAATCCCAATATTTAAAAATAGATGCACTTAGGAACACAGAACCCATCTGCATTAGCTCATGCTCCATAACACACCACCATCTCATTGTCAAAATATAAAACATTTTTTTTAATTATTCTATGGATGTGATTACAAGTGTTGGAAGAATACAGATCTTTTAGGATTCCTAAGAAATTCTTCGATTTCTTCCGGAAACAGATGATTAAAGAAGAGATAAGGAAANATGGGGGGTAATGTGGTTTCCTTGCTCCTTGAAGCATCCTACACACGTGTTTTTATCCCGATTCCACTTTTCAACAAATTTTCATTTTTCATGAAAGAGCAATCACCATAAGCTTTTCACACACTCATGTTTTTGTCCCCATTCTACTTTTCAACAAAGTTTCAATTTCCATAAAGAGCAATCACTATAAGTTTTTCATGTCATAACCAGACTAAAGAATGCTAATGGCCCATTGGACCAAATAGAAGCATTAGTTTAATGCAATGTCTAAATAAGCCTCATACAATATTGAAGGATGTGTATTTAACAATAATCCCAATATTTAAAAATAGATGCACTTAGGAACACAGAACCCATCTGCATTAGCTCATGCTCCATAACACACCACCATCTCATTGTCAAAATATAAAACATTTTTTTTAATTATTCTATGGATGTGATTACAAGTGTTGGAAGAATACAGATCTTTTAGGATTCCTAAGAAATTCTTCGATTTCTTCCGGAAACAGATGATTAAAGAAGAGATAAGGAAAATGCAGATCAGCCAAACATGGGCTGACTCCTCTCATATATCTATTAGTCATGGACACTGTGTCATCACAAAACTACCCCTGCCACTTCTATTAAACAGACCCCAAACTAAGCAAATATAATGAACATGGAAAACGCTTTTTGGAATAGGCTCGCTTTCAGGTGACTATGCCGAGGGACCAATCCCTACTCAAATACTTGAATGGTGGAATCAAAGTAACTCAACCCATTTGAAGTTTGCAAGTTCTGAAAGTGGTGCATAGTTCCCAACTTTTGAGTGTCTTGTAAAAAAACACCTATGCAATAATAAACTATACTGGACAATGTCTCTCTCTCTCACAAAGATTTTTACAACCGTAAAGGTTTGACCGCAAAGTTTATCATCCAACTTTTTTGAGTACCTCCATTATGTCCCCCTAATCCCCACACCCCCAAAAAGAAGTCAGGGCAGCCCTAGAATGAGATTAAAACAAAACAACTGTTCAATGATTAACTATACAAGGCAAAAGGGTCCCTCTTGTGCACACTGAGTTTGAATGGGAAAGTATTTTGTCAACTGATGGCATATAGGGTTTACAGTAATTTCATAACTAAAAACAATGAGCAGTTTATCTGTTTAAAACTTTAGATACATACTGATTGACTTATCATGATGCTTTTTCCTTGTCCACCGCTCCCAAATGCTATCTTCCAACTTATTCAATTGACTAATGGCATACTGTTCATAGAAATAGAAGCTTGCATCAGGATTATCCTATACCATAAGGACATCAGCTCTTATATATCTGTTGATAACACATGGCCATAAAACAATATAGGGAGCATATAATAATGCAATTAAAGTTTTTTCTATACCAGAAGAGGTACTTTGGCATGTACAATACATTCATCAAGCGATTTTCTGGTGATAAACAAGAAGAAAACCATCAAATCGCATATGAAGCGATATGATAATATTTATGCCTCTCAGTAACAGAGGAGTACCATGACATGCATTTTATTTCAAAATGGACAGTAATGGCAGTCTACCTTCCAATGGATTTTACACATAAATGACTTCAGATATTAACAATTGCAACAAGACATGTCATCAAGAAGTGTCAGTCTTACTGCTATATTTGATCAGATTTTTTTTCAATACGGAGGTGGTGCATGAAAACTAGCCATCTTCATATCTACATGTAACAGGGTTTTTCATGTTCAATCTAGACCCAAAAAAAACCTTATCATATTTAAAAGAGATGAGCATGCAAACCAATATTCCTATATGGACATGTCTTCACATTTATGTAATTAAATCCTATTAAATTATGTTCAGGAATGTTATGGCACAACTCCTTGGTTTCTTGCCAGCTAAATTAAAAAGGTCAATGTTCAAATAATTGCTGTTTTTCAAACTGAGAACTTTCATGATAAGAAGTGTTAAGTTAAGAGAATTAATATAACACAATATTAGAGGAAATATTAGGGAGAAAGAGAGAGGTTAGAAAACTTAACCTAACTCTCATACATAACTTGTATTTATAGTTAACTTACAATAATAATAATAACACATACATCCCTTTTACAATTAACAACTTACACATACTACTACTCTATTATTCTTAACACTCCCCCTCAAGTTGGATTATATATATCATATAATCCAAGCTTGGAACAAATAGTTGTAAGACGCGTACGACTCAATGCTTTGGTACACATATCTGCAAGCTAATCTTCAGATTTCACAAATGGAATTGTAATCTCCCCGGCTACTATCTTGTCCCGAATAAAGTGACAGTCAACCTCACTATGCTTAGTTCTTTCATGAAACACAGGATTGACAGCGATATGGATAGCTGTCTGGTTGTCACAGAACAACTGTAAAGAAAGTTGAACTGAAAAACCAATTTCCTGGAGGAAGTGTAGTAGCCAAGTCAACTCACTTGTCGTATGTGTCATTGCCCTATAATCAGCCTCAACACT